TGTATCCACTCAGGTATTAATGCAGTAGCCGAGTTACCAGATGAAAAAGAATGCCAACAATCCAAACTTAAGGATGCAAAGTTCTGTATTTCCATCTCTGTTTTCAGAGCAGGCATTGCTGCTCCTTTCTACTTACAATGGTCAACTTTTCTCTCAACAAGCAAACAAAACAATAGCAGAAAAATCCAAGGAGATTTGACTGTGTTACCCAGTTTAGGATAAATTTTCATCCTTATCACAGAATCTTTGGGTTAGAAGGGACCTCTTAAGGTCATCTAGTCCAACCCCCTGCAGTGAGCAGGGACATCTTCAGCTACATCAGATTGCTCAGAGCCCTGTCCAACTTGACCTGGAATGTTTCCAGGGATGGGGTATCTACCACCTCTCTGGGCAGCCTGTGCCAGTGGTTCACCACCCTTACTGGGAAAAATTTCTTCCTTATATCAAGGCTAAACCTTCCCTCTTGTAGTTTAAACCCCTTGTCCTACCACAACAGGGCCTGCTAAGAAGTCTGTCCCCATCTGTCTTATAAGTCCCCTTTAAGCACTGGTAGGCTGCAATAAGGTCTCCCCGGAGTCTTTTCTTCTCCAGGCTGAACAACCCCAACTCTCTCAGCCTGTCTTCACAGGAGAGGTGCTCCATCCCACTGATCGCTTTTGTGCCCTTCTCTGGACCCACTCCAACTCCATGTCTTTCCTGTGCTGAGGGCTCCAGAGCTGGATGCAGGACTCCAGGTGGGGTCTTACCAGAGCAGAGTAGAGGGGCAGAATCATCTCCCTCAACCTGCTGGCCACGCCGCTTTTGATGCAGCCCAGGATAGGGTTGGCCTTCTGGGCTGCAAGTGCACATTGCTGGCTGATGTCCAGCTTTTCATCCACCCGTACTCCTGAGTCCTTCTTGGCAGAGCTGCTCTCAATCCCTTCATCCCCCAGCTTGTATTGATACTGGGGGTTGCTCCAACCCATGGTGCAGGACCCTGCACTTGGCCTTGTTGAACCTCATGACGTTCACACGGGCCCACTTCTCAAGCCTGTCCAGGTCTCTCTGGATGGCCTCCTGTCCCTCAGGCGTGTGAACCACACCACTCAGCTTGGTGTCATCTACAAACTTGCCATGGGTGGACTCGATCCCACTGTCTATGTCATTGATTAAGATATTAAAGAGTACTGTTCCCAATATGGACCCATGAGGGACACCACTTGTCACTGATCTCCATCTGGACATTGAGCCATTACTCACTGGATTAATTACAACCACTAGTAATTACAATTCACAACCACTACTCTCTGGATGCAACCATCCAATCAGTTCCTCATCCACTGAACAGTCTACCCATCAAATCCATCTCTCTCCATTTCAGGGAGAAAGATGTTGTGAGGGACCATGTCAGAGGCCTTACAGAAGTCCAGATAGATAACATCGGTAGCTCTTCCCTTGTCCACTGATGTGGTCACTCCATCATAGAAGGCCACAAGGTTGCTCAGGCAGGACTTGCTTTTGGTGAAGCCATGCTGGGTGTCTGGAATCACCTCCCTGTCCTCCATGTGCCTTAGCATAGCTTCTAGGAGGGTCATCCTTCTTAAGCCCTATTAAAAATCCATAAATCTCCTGAATGTTTGGGAATTGCTTTCTTTTTTTGCTCCATTCTGTGTTAGTGTTAATGCTATTTTCCCCCTGCCAATTCTTACTCTCTCTATCACTGGTTTGATTTGTCCCACATTGGTATCTGAACAAATTATGAATAACCTGAAGTTTGAGCCAGACCCTTAAAGTTGTTTTGACCATTTGTTGGTTCTTGCAGTTTACCTCCTGAGACAAATTAGTCTGTTAATAATTATAGTATTGTCTCCCTTGTCACTTTACATGCTGATTACTTCTGATTCTTTCCCTGTATCTTGCTCAATGGATTGCTTATTTCCTTCATTATTGTTTTTTTCACTGCAGAAGATTCCCTGTGCTGTTCATATTTGCTGGTGCACTTAAAATGAAGGGCATTGCAGGACACCTTTTTCGCCCTGTTTACAGCACTTGCTGTGGCACGTATTTGTTTAATTTACTTTTGCAATGTTATTGAGTTGCGTTACAGAAGAGGCTTTTTTTATGTGGACACACAGACTCTGAGGATTCTGCTTTTGCAGGTTATGTTAATTAAACTATTCACTGCAAATCATTAGCTAATGAGTCTGTAGGTAGATGACACTAAACAGAAAGTAGAGCATTAGATCTTCACCAGTACTTTAGAGAACTTTGGAAACTTTTCATTTCTTGCTGGAGCGCTTCACGCTGGCACTGCAGTCAAGCTAACATCTGTTCTCCCTCTGTCAGCAGGCTGTATGTGGTACAGAAATAACACAAAGTGCCACCCATCTTCACTGATCTGTAGGGTTTTTTTTAATTTTCCTTTTTAGAAGGTGCAGAAATAATCTTCAGCTGGCACCAGAGTAATATCAGCTGTTCTAGCTTTTCAGCTTAAAAACACCCTTGCATGGAGTTGAGTATGGGAGTGTAGATATAAATGACACTGTAAATTAGTGATTCAGAGTAATGTTTAGTAATATTCCTCTTTAGCACAGGGGAGAGTATCTTAAACTTCCATTACAGTAAATAGGAATTCTAGCATTCTCAAAGGATAGTCACCGTTTCTCATTCCCAATTCTGCTGCTTGAGTTATGGGCAGTGGCAGTTAGGGTATGGTGGGTTTTTAATTCTTTTTTTAAGGGGGATGTTAAAAATAGGTTGCTGTCTCTTGAATCAGTAGAGGCTGTGTCTGTCATGGTGAAAACTGAAGAAAAGTATAGTCTGTATTCTTTCCATTTTAGGATTTTTGTACTGGGAGAGGGCTGTATGCATAGTGCATGGGACAGTACAGGATGGAGTTCTTGCATCAGAAAGTCTAGTTGATTAGAAAATTTGTGTCCTAAAATGTTTTTGTGGATGCAAAGAGCATTGGCTAGGGGCATTTTAAAAAACTTGAATGGTAAGTTGCTTTAGGTCTCTTGATTTGGACTGTATGAGACTTTGCACCTTTATTTTCTTTTGTTTGCTGGAGCTAATTCTTCATTCATTTTGAAACCTCCTGCAGAGATTCTTCTCGACTGGAGAGTTCTGCAGGTTATAGTCCTGCTGCTGTTTTTCTTGCTCATATTTGTCCCTTTCAAAAGCATGTTCTAATTCTAGTAAACGTCCAAAGCAAATGCAAACTTGAAAACTGTTTTGCGGCTTTTCTTCCAGAGCTGCATATCAGCGTTGTTTCAAAAACTGTTACGTGGACTTTTAAAAAAGTGTATTTCTTGTCTGACTTTCACTAGCTCTGTGTGTGGCACGATCTGGAACATGACACTTCTTTTTCCTTTTGGCCTTTCCTCTTTAGCAGGAAAAGTTGATAAGTCAGCACTCGAGTTTGCAGGATTCCTTCTGTTATTGATCCACATCTTAATAGGCTGGAGGCCTCTGATAAAAGAACAGCAGCAGCTTTTACATTTCTGATTTCAGGAACCCCACTGGTTACACAGAAACCTCAGGGTGAGGTGCAGCTTTGGCTGTGAACTGCAAATGCTGTGTCTGCAGTGGGAGGAGAAATGGAAGCTTTGAGCTTGGATTTAGATTTGGTGAAATAGCTTGAAATGTTAACGAGCTTTGCAGAACAACCTCTGCTCTTGTGTTCCTGGTTCCTCAAGTGTGTGGGAAACAACCACGTAATGGACTTTCTTCTGAGCCCACGTTTCTTGCTCACTGACTTTAAAAAAGCAAAACAAAAAAAAATTATAAAATGCACAGCTTGCTGGAGTGGGTTAGGAATGTGCTGCTAGTGTATTGCATAAGGAATATTTCATTTCCTAGTGATTCCAAGGCTCTGCAAGTAATATTCTCCCCACAACTGTCTGGGAAGGAGACAAGTAAGGCTACAGTTACAGATGGGGATCTGGAATCCAGGGAGAACACACTTGCTACTTGTGCAAGTTCATGCAGAGAGTAAATTTCTGAACAAAGAATAAAGAACTGTGGAGGACCGTTTCAGAACTCCAGAGTCACTGATGGAGTCTCGTTATTTTGTTATTTTTATGCAGTTTTGGTGCTCTATAATTACAGGTCATCTTGTGACCTATGAATGCAATATCAGGAATTTGTTTCCTGAGGACTCTGGAGGTCCTCCAGTTTGGCCTCCTGCTTGTTGTAGGGTTGATATTGCCAAAGTCAGACTGGGTCAGCCGTGGCTTTGTCTAGCTCCTGTGTTGACACTTCCAAGGATGGTAGCTCCCCGGCCTCTCTGGGTAACCTGTTTAGTGTTGTACTGCCCTCCTGGGGAAGAAGACTTTCCTGCGTCTGCTGTAGGACAATAGATGCTAGACCCTTTCCTGTCATTCCCCAAGGCCCAGACGTTTATTGTGAAACAGAATGAGAGGTTTTTTGAGGAGGGACCTTTTTTTGTCTGATAGCACCTAACATTTTTGACTTCACTGGAAAAGCTTGTGAAAGGTGAAATTATCTTAAGCTGTGATGGTGCTTAAAATGGACCTTGAGGGAAGGAGTGCAAAAGAATAGTCTGCAGCTTAGGCTGCTTTGCCTGCACTTCTGGGAATGAAAGAAATTAAACTTAACATATCTCTCTGGCTAACAGAAAGGTCTCATCAGGACTGTGATGTGTTTGCTTTTGCTCTCCCAGTCCAAATTCTAAAGTTACTCGTTCATTTGCTCAGGTGCTGATATTGATTCATTGACTCTCTGTGGTTTTGTTGATGCTTTTGAGATATTGTCAAGCAATGAAGAAAGTGGATTACCCATATATAAATGGCTACCCATATGTAAAACTGTCAGGAGTCTTCAATACAGCAAGTTGTATGAATTTGGAACATTAGAAGCATGTGACTTATGCAAGAGAACCATTAAAACTCAGTGGCATACTCAGGATGACTAGGTGACATTGTCGGGTTTTTCTTTTCTTGGAGTGACTTAATTACACCATATTTTTAATGTACAATTTCTTTTTTCTTTTACTGAAGGGACAATGGAGACCGATCCAGGCACCGAGCTCCACGGAATGCCCGCATGTCTGCACCGTCACTGGGGCGCTTTGTCCCAAGGTAAAACTTGTACATGGAAGAGTAAAAGAGTGTGGAAATCCTGGAGGTACCAGTTGCAGTAGAGCGCTCTGGTACTTTTGGATGGATTCCTTTTCTCATACAGGGCTGCTGTATTCTTGGTTTGTGATTTCTGGGACTCCTGATATGGCATGTTAGTATGATCAGCTCATCCTGTGACATTTGAATGACAGCATGGTCTTAGTGCTTCTTACCTGCAGGTTGGGGCTACAGTGTGAAGGCAGAATAGGAGGAGAAAAGCAACTGATCAGAGATTCTCAGCACAATGTGCTGGTTTGAGATTAGGAAGCTATTGTGGGAGGTAGAGGATTTGCTTAATGCTGATCTTCACAGCCACATTGATCAGAGGAGGATCTAATCTGTAACTTGCTTTTTGTTTGAAGCAGTGAAGCGGTTGGCTAAGCAGAGGAGTCCAGCCTTCCCTCTACTATAGTCTGCTGGAATATAGTCATGTTTCCTCAAAGTAATTGCAGTTGCTGGCCAGGGCTGTAGTGTACTTGGATATCTTTCTCCATGTAAGCTTACTCTCTTTGTTTTGCAGACGCTTCTTGCTGCCCGAGTACTTGCCTTATGCTGGGATTTTCCACGAACGGGGACAGCCTGGCTTGGCCACCCATTCCTCTGTCAACAGGGTTTTGGCAGGTAATGAGATTTCCTTGTTTGCAGTAGTCATGTATATTAGTGGTGTTTTTCCTGTGAATTTGAGGAGAGGAGGATTGAGGAAAAATCAAATTCCAACTTTTGAGGTTCTATTTTCAGGCAACTATTAAGTTGCCTGAAACAAGAGAAAGGACTGTTGGAGTGATGTGGTGATCTGTCATTCAAGTGCTTGGGCATTGCAGATTCCACACTTCAAGTATGTCTATGGGAGTCTCTGCATGACTTCGGGAGGGGTGCTGTTAACAATTCTCCCTTTGTTTAACTTCCTCCCCTATTCCTAGCTGTCTTTTTCTTAGCAACCTGACAGACTAATGATCAGCTTGCTGCAGGTCCTTCTAATTGAATTATAGGGTGCCTTGTTCGTGTTCCGGCTGGCAAGACGCACACAAGGCAATGCAGGATTCAATTAGGACCTTAATAAGTGCATATTAAAAAACTCAGCTGCCACCACATACAGCACACAGGCATTTGGGAGTCTTAAAAGGCAGGCGGAGGTTGGGGGAAGAGCAGTATGGCACTCTGACAGTTCATGAATGAGATAGTTATAGATGACACATGTCCTGAGGGTCGATCTTTGTTGGCTGTGTCTGAGTTGCTCTGTAATTAACCTCAGTGCAGGGGAATCATCTTGGAGCTTGGGGGAGAACAAGGGATGATGTATGGACAGGTAGGTTGGGATGTGCTTCTCTTCCTTCCTGTAGGTAGTCATGGGACCACCAGTGAGAGGAGTGCTGAAAGGTTTCTCAAGAGGTTGTGTGACCCTTTTCCTTATCCTAAAGCATGATTAACTATGCCTAAACCATTTTGGACAGGATTTGTCGAACCTGTTTTTAAGAGTCTTCGCTGGAGTTTTCCCAACCATTTTGGAGTGGAACTGTGTCGGTTTTGCATGGCTGATTTAGTATGGCTGTGGTCGTTTCTTTGATTACAAATTTCTGCCATCTCTCAGACTTTTGTCTCCCTGAACACTTTGGTTTGAGTTCATGGTTCGTAGATTTTGCTGTTGCAGTAGTAGTAAGAGCTGAGCCATAGGCTAGCCTCTAAAGCACCTCTGCTTTTTTTTCTTAGGAAAG